ATAACCTCGGGACGTGGGTAGGTTTGGCAATTTGGCGACAGTGCCGGACGCGACCCAAGCAAGGGTTGGGTTGACAAATGAGGCCGAACGTGGCGAGTCGAGGATTTCTGGTGTTGCGCTAGCGTACGACTGAGTAAGGAATGGAAATTCCTTATAGGGTAGTGACAGGGTAGCTGTTTGACATTCTGTATTAGCCTGGCAGTCACGAGTGATCTCCATCCCCAGGTAGTTCTTGAGGTCACCAAGATCCTTAATGAGAAGGGCGGAGCTGAGAGCAGACTGGACAGCTGCCATCTCGGCTGGATCTCTGGCGGCTAGAATGAAGTCGTCGACATAAACGAGGATGTAGAAGGGCTCGAAGGAGTGATGAACGAAGAGACTGGAATCTGAGGCGATGTACCGTACCGTCAGCTGGTCACTCTGAACAAGATCTCATATGAAGAAATGACGAAGTTCGATGTGCTTGGTGCGAGAGTGGAACACAGCATCCTTGGCGGTACCCTTGGGAGGAGCATCTGTCAGTCTGGTCATCGGCCCATGAGGAGTCTGTGTATCCCTCGAGCTTGACTGGAGAGGTACCACCAAGAGTGAGGATGTGAGACTTGGTGGCTTGTAGATAGCGGAGGACCCTCTTGGCTGCAGACCAATGCGAGGCAGTGTAGCGTCCGGGGGAGACGTACCGAGAGAGGACACTAACCGGGTAAGCCAAGTCTAGTCGAGTGCACATCATAGCATACATGAGTGAACCGACTAGCTCAGGGTACGGGTCCTTGCAGGCGTCAGGAGAAGGAACTGGAGGGGCCGTGAGCTGATGCTGTAGTGGGAGTGGAGTGGAGACAGAGTTACTGGAGTCCATGTCGAACCGCTTGAGAAGGTTGTCGATGTAGGACTCCTGGGAGAGGGTGATCGTGCAAGCCTGGCGGTCACGAGTGATCTCCATCCCCAGGTAGTTCTTGAGGTCACCAAGATCCTTCATGAGAAGGGCGGAGCTGAGAGCAGACTAAACAGCTGCCATGTCGGCTGGATCTCAAGCGGCTAGAATGAAGTCGTCGACGTAGACGAGGATGTAGAAGGGCTCGGAGGAGTGACGAACGAAGAGACTGGAATCTGAGGTAGAGGGATGGAAGTCAAGTGTGAGGAGGACTTCCTTCACCTTGTTGTGCCACTCACGAGGAGCCTGCTTGAGGCCATACACTGGGCGCTTCAGCTTCCACACTGTGTTGGCAGGGTAAGTGCCAGGAAACCCCGGTGGGCGTTCCATGTGAACATCCTCCTTGAGCTGGCCTTGGAGAAAGGCGGAGGAGGCGTCCATGGACTTGATCTCGAAGTTGCCGCGAGCGGCTATATCAAGAAGAGCGCGCACAGTCGGGAGCTTGGCCGTGGGCGAGAATGTTTCGAAGAAGTCGAGATACTCCTTCTGGGTGAAACCCTTCGCCACGTATCATGCCTTGAACAGTGGAGCTTCGCCTGGGAGTTGTTTGACTCGGAAGATCCATTTTCCGCCGACGATGTTGACACCAGAAGGGGGAACAACATCGTCAAAGCTGTTGTTGCGAATGAACGCCTCGTTCTCCACATCCATTGCTGCCTTCCACTCCTTCTTATAAGGCCCCGAGAGAGCTTCCTCTTTTGTGCGAGGAGTCAGAATGGTCGGGTTCTCGGTGAAGTTGAGGAAAGGGCAGTCAGTAATGTCCGGGAAGATGTGAGAGAGAAATTGGCTGACCGCGTGAAGGTCAAACAGCTCCTCATGCCTGTCCTCCAGAAGTGCACGGGGGGGAATACGGATGGAGGGGACATCACCTCCGGCAGGAGGAGGCGGGGTGACCGAACACCGGATGGAGAAGGCGGCTGGTCCCCAGGCGAGAGGCGGAGCCGGTCCCTTGGAACGAGTGCGACTAGAGACCGGAGACGAAGGCGGCTGCGGTGGGACCGGAGGGACTGGGCGCCTCCGATAGGAAACTGGTGAGCCGGGCTCGACGCGCGGGGAAGGCGGAGCAGGAGGAGGTGCCGTTGCGGAGGATACTGGGGAGGCCGGGTGAGACACGCCGGACGGAGAAGGCCCCGGAGAAGGGGCAGCGGCCGGAGGTGGGGCATCGAAGTCTGCCCAAACAAGTGTCGGGGGAGGTGGAGGAGGCTCGCCCGTGGTCGCAGAGTGGAATGGGCGTGTCTCATCGAAGACGACATCACGGCTGCGAATCAGCTGTCTGGTGATTGGGTTGAGGAATAAGTAGTCTGGGGAGTCGGAGTTGTGCCCCAGGTACATGCAGGTCTGGGTTTTGGGACCAAGCTTGCCACCTTGCTTCCTGCGCATGTTGGGGCTTAGCAACACATACGCGGTACACCCCCAGACGCGTAGAGAGCGGGCGGAAGGCGTGACCCCAAGCCAGAGAGCGGTAGGTGTGGTGTCGGGCCGGTGGGGATGCGGATAAAGATTGTAGAGGAGTGCCGCATGGAAGAGGGCATATCCCCAGAGTGATCGTGGTGCGTTGGCGTGACTGAGGAGGCAGCGAGCGATCTGAACCAAGGTGTGGTTGCGGCTCTCTGCAATGCCATTCTGCTGCAATGGAGGCACTTCAGAGGAGTGCCGAACGTGACTTGAGCCTGGCACACCCACGCTATGATGACATCAGGTGCCTCCGCCTTGGTATGCAGGAGATGCACAGAAACATACCGCGAGTGGTCATCGACTAGTGTAAGAAAGTACCGATGACCGCCTCGGGATGCGACTGGAGCTGGGCCCCAGACATCCATGTGCACTAGGTACAGCGGAGCAGCTGCGACAGACGGGGAGGAAGGGTGCGGCTGCTGCCTGAGCTTGCTCTTGGTGCAGTCCAGGCAGGTGGGTGCAGGTGAGTCTGTTGGTGGAGGAAGCGCCGACGGGAGGCCAAGAAGAAGTTTCTTGGAAGCGATGTGAGCAAGTGTACGGAAGTTGGGGTGACCCAAGCGATGGTGGTAGAGGATGGTTGGGTTGGCGAAGCTGCGACACGAACACGGAGTGGTGCTGGCAGCTTGCGCTTGGGAGAGGGCGGCGAGAGGTGCAGGTGAACGCAGCGTGTAGAGCTTGCTGCTGTTGAGTGTGAAGCGTGCTAGGAGCTTGTTGGACTTAGGGTCGAGGAGGTCACAGTGATCCGAGTGTGCTGGGAAGATCGTGGTGATGCCTGCCCGTTGGAGCTCGTGTTCGGCCATGAGATTGTGGCGTATGGTGGGAACACACATGCCGGTGACACTGCCCGAAGGAAAAGCTGGGCACGGAACTGTGGAGGAGCCCTTGGCGTGTGTTGTGAAACTGGAGTCTGCTCCTAGTAGACAGATTGGTGTCTCGTATGGCTTGAAGGAGTGTTCTTCCTTGAGAACCGTGTAAGTGGCCCCACTGTCGAGGGTGAACTCTATTGTGGCTGAGGTGCTTTGTGAGCCGGGACACTGCGAAATCGTCTCATTAATCACGGCAGTGCCAGGGAACAACATGTGGAGGCGCACATCAGCAGTAGGAGCTACAGCAGCCTGCACGGATTCCTGCGCTTCGACTTGATTGACCTTGCGAGGAGCACGATTGACCATCCAGCTTGGCGGCTTCGAGGTGGTCCCATTGACGGCATACCATTCGTCATCATTTTTCTTGAAGCAGGAGGCAAGGCCGTGGTTGGTGCCGCCACACACCTGGCCAGCACGAGGGCCGCGCTTGATGACGTAGGGACACGGGGGGAAGCGGTTGCGCTGGAATGGCACCGAAGCGGCATAGGCTTGAGGCACAGGAGCGCGGATTGCATTGGCCTTGGCTTGAGCGCTGTTGTCCTTTTCGGCAGAAAGGAGCGCGGATGAGACCTTGGCAAATGTGAGGTCTGCAGGAGCAAGGCCCAAGAGCATCTTGCGTGTGACTTCGTATGCCGGAGTGAGGCCGACTAGGAGAGCGGCTGCAGGGGCTTGCTCGGGGAAGACTATCCCCAACTGTTTGAGTTCACCATGAATGGACTGCACCCTGGTGACATAGTCCGCCATGCCTGGCGAGTCCTCGAGCCGCACTTGGAACATGCTGGGGATGAGTATAGCAACTCCCACTGCAGTCTTGTTCAGGAAGCGATCCTCTAGGTAGAGCCAAATGGCGTTGGCAGACGGGTAGTTGTGGTAGGTTTCGACGAGTTCGGGAGGAGTGGTGCCCATGAAGACACTAATGACCGCACCATCGGCCTTCTCCCAATTCTTGTACTTGAGCAGTGCAGCAGCATAAACTGCTTCGGCGGCGTCATTAGCTGGATCGGCGGACCTCTCGGGTTTAGGAGGCTCTTTGCCGTCACCGATGTTGAGAAGGACGTCGGTGAGCTCGAGCCCCTTCACCTCGCGACTGAGGAGGTGCTTGTCGACACCATAGCGCCAAGCCTTGTAGTTGGAGCATGTGCCGTCCGGCTCGAGACGAAGGAGCGGGATCGGGTTGGCGAGTGAAGTGGTTGAGTAAGCCATTGTCGGTGTTGTTGGTTAGAGAAGGCTATAAGCAGATGATTCAATGGCTCCTAGGAAATTTCTGCAGCACTTCGTTATGACGCCCAGAAAACTCGCGACCTTCGAAAAGCTATATCCAAAACTCCAATTGGTGAAACAATCTGAAAATCGGATATGATGTAGCTTGCAGCGTCAGCTTTCAGTTGAATCACTCGATTCCGTAGCTTATCGAGTGAGCTATGGCGATTGGCGCACTAGGGGGTAATCTGCCCTAGGAGAAATTGACAGTCCTCAGAGTCACTATGATTGAAGCTCACAAGTTCAGAGGCATGATAGGAAAGGCATTGAAGCACAGTTGGAAGGTGGGGATGGAAGGGAAGGATGAAAAGGAAGGACCCTGGAGGCCCTTGGTCAAGAACATGACAAGAGTCAAAATCTTGACTCCCCATCCTCAGGTTCAGCCAGCCTGGCAAGACAAAATTCACACTGTGCCAGGTTGGCCTCCAAACCCCAAATGCTGCAGCTGCAAGGTGAGGACAAAAGTCCCACACATGCTGGTCCCTCCTCGTTATAGGGCTCTCCAACTTTGGTGTAGCAGCTGCCAAGGACTTCCAATGAGTTGTAACAAATCCATCAAACACCTCTTCGTAACTTCTTCATATGTGCTCCGATTCCAACAATTCTTGGCTCGTTGGAATGTGCTCGATGCCATGCACAATCCAAGCACATCTGCACAAACACAAGATAAACATGCAAAGACATGCAAACCCAACAAACCACACAAACAATGTAGCACACAAAACGCATGCAACGGAATGATGCGAACAGACGACAGATGACGTGCAAACGAATATGCACCAACACACTCCCCCTCAGACTGTCGGCTTGTTTTGCCGTCTCTAGTTCAAGGACATTCCCGCCATCCTCGCACAGTGCCAGTGTGGCTCTTCAGCTAGCCGCTTGGTAAGGAAGTCGGCTGGCTGTTGCTGAGTTTTCACGTAGATCGGATCCAGTGTCCCAAGCTTCACCTCCTTCCGCAGCCAATGCCACTTGATCCTCATGTGCTTGTACAACCCATGAAGAACTGCATTGCGTGCCATGGCAATGGCTCCCTTGCTGTCACTGAACAGAGGTGTCGCACAAGTCTGTTCATGGCCGATCTCCTTCAAGAGCCTCCTTAGCCAGATGATTTCTTTTGCCGCATGAAACATCGCCATGTACTCAGATTCCACTGAAGATAGTGCCGTCTCAGACTGCTTCTTGGACCTCCAACTTACAGGCCCACCTCCCACCATGCAGATGTATCCACCAACTGATGATGAATCCTCATGCTCAGAAGCCCATGTGGCATCAGCAAAACAGGAAAGGAACACCTTTCCTTCTCCGAGCTGCTCCCCCTTCTCTTTGAGGACTTCAACTCCCTTTTTCCTGAGTTGAGCAGAGGCTGAATACTGTACTCCCACTGTAGGGTATGACTTGAGGTAGCGCACCACTCTCTCCGCTGCACCATACTGCTCTTCTGTTGGATTTTGCGCTACTCGAGCCAGCTGTCCCACAGCAAAGCTGATGTCAGGCCGAGTATGCACAGCAGCGTAGAGTAGGCTCCCGACCATGGATTGGAATTGCCTCTGGTCTTCACTCTCAACTCCTTCTCCTTCAGCTGCCTTTATGAGTTTGAACTCGGAAGGCAAAGGTGTGACCACTTCCCGTTCTTCCTGCAGAGAGTACTTCTCAGCCAAGGTGTGGATGTACTGTCCCTGATGCAGTTTGAGCCAGCCACGTTCAGTATCCCGCTCAATGTGCATTCCCATGTAGTACCTTGCCTCTCCAAGTGACTTGCACTTGAACTGCTCTGTGAGCTTCCGCTGCACTCCATCGATCTCCTTGTCACTGCTGCTGAAGAGCAGGATGTCATCCACGTACACCAGCAGAAGCACAAGCGACTCCCCCTCGCCCATCAGGAATAGGCTCTCGTCGCATGCACTCGCACGGAATCCAATCCCTTCCAATGCACTGGCCAGCCTGTTGTACCAGCATCTCGGGGCCTGCTTCAAGCCATAGATGGCCTTGTTAAGTTTGCAGACACGACCGGTTCCATCCTCATAGCCAGGTGGTTGAACCATGTACACCTCCTTTTCCATTATGCCGTACAGAAAAGCGGTTACGATGTCCATCTGCTTCACCTTCCATTTGCGCACAGCAGCTACCGCCAGCAGCACACGTAGCGTTGGAGACTTAGTAGTTGGGGCAAACACTTCTTTGTAGTCTTCCTTCTCTTTCTGCTGAAACCCCTTTGCCACCAGCCTGCTCTTGTAAACTGATGGCTCTCCTTTCTCATCCGTCTTGATTTTTGCCAGCCACTTGCACTGTATAGCCTTCTTCCCATTTGGCAAGTTTACCAGGTCCCATGTGTGATTCTCCATCTGGCTGTTGTACTCTGCATCTCTCGAAACGAGCCACTTCCCCCGTTGAGGCCCGGCTAGCGCATGATCCATGCTCGGAGGTTGTACTGGTGCGTAAAAGCAGTATGCAGGCTCCTCGTCATCTGACTCTTGGTCATCACCCAAGAACAGCACTGCATCTTCGCCTTGAGCCTGTTGCTGTTGCTCAGTTGTGGCTCCTCCACTTGTAGAGCTCAGCAGCTTTCTCGTTGCCATTCTGGTACGTGCAGGGTAGGTGGCTGGATTTACCCATTCTTTCACCTTCACCCAATCCTTTGTCCCCCCACCAATCTGTTTCCTTCGCTTTGGCAGACTTGGTGTTTTGGAAGCCTCTTGCTGCTGCTGCTCCGGATCCTTGACTTCAGCATCAGCTGCAATATCCTCATTGCTTCCTTCATCAGTACCGCTTGCCGTTTGCGCAGTGACTTCGCTATCCTCAGGTTCGGACAAATCGAAGTGCATAGTGATCTCTTCCAGCTGCTGAGTGACCCTTGCCTCCGGCTGCTTCTCCCACTTGCCATATATGATGTTCTCCACAAATTTGACATCCCGACTGTCAAACAACACATTCTTTGAGGACTCTCAGAGTAGCCACCCCTTGCTCCCTGCCGCAAGCCCAAGGTGCACACACCACAGTGCAGATGCTCCAAGCTTTGTCCTGTACGGTTTAGGGACATCCGCCACAGCCATGCATCCGAACACTCTAAGCATGTCCACTGGAGGCTTCTTTCCAAGCCACCTCTCCAGCGGCACCCACATATCATCAGCCACCTTTGTGAGTACGCGGTTCCTTGCCACTGTAGCATGCCTCACCGCATGAGGCCACATGGAGTTTCCCAGCCCTGATTCGATCAGCAGCGCTCGCGCAGTTTCCAGGATGGTCCTATTAGCCCTCTCAGCAACGCCATTTGACTGAGGGGTATAGGACGTCGTTAGCTGATGCTCAATGCCTTGTTTCTTGAGCCACGCAGTCAGATCTCCTCCTAGAAACTCTCCACCTCGGTCGGTTCTGATGCTCTTGCATGGGTGCCCAGATTGTCGCTCGACGAACGGGAGCCAGTCATCTCGTATTGTTGAGGCAGCATGATCCTTCTGCTTCAACGGGTATACCCACATCAGCCGACTCCAGTCATCAACTATTGTTAGGAAGTATCTTTCCCCCTTCTTTCCTTGAACTGGAAAAGGTCCTACCAGGTCCATGTGCACCAGTTCCAGTGCTGCCTTGCTTTTCCCAGCTACGCCGTGAAAGGGGAACCGTGTGAACTTGCTCAGCAGACACGTCTCGCACTTGGTATCATTTGGTTGCCCAGAAAGCTTCAGCCCCTTTACTGCTTCTTCCTTATGCAGTTGCTGCAGCAATGGCATGGCCACATGCCCTAGACGCCTGTGTGCGGTTTCCCAATCAGTCTCCCCCAACCTTGCAGAAACTATCACTCCTGCAGCACTAACTGCATTGCACTCCCCCTGGACTCCAGATCCCGCCTTTACTGCTCCCACCTCCTTCTTTGTTGATTCCCATATCAGCGCAGGGATCTGCCACATGGATCTCAAGACATCTCTGCTTTCGTGTAAATCCCATAGCACACGATCTCCTCGCAGCCCCTTGAATGTTTTGGATCCATTGGTGGTGGTGCTGACTCCGGCCTGGCCTAGCTTGCGCAGCGATATCAGATTGGCCTTCAGCCCCGGTACGAGTAACACGTCCTTCAGCACAACCAGTCCACCATCAGGTGCTCTGAATGCAGCTCGACCAACTCCAGCGACCTTCACTGCATGTCCGGATGCTGAGCGCACTTCGGAGATTGGAGGCGCTCGCACAGCATCCAGCAAGTCCTTGCGTGGTGTCATTGTCCAGGCAGCACCAGAGTCCATGACCCACATGTCAAGCGGGTGCAATTCCTCTCCAGCCCTTGCAACAGCTGTGCCACTGTCATCTTTGTCACACACATGGTAGAACTGTCCAGCATTCCTCTCCTCATTTCCCATTCCTCTGTCATCCTTGGAGGTTTCTTCAGCAGGATCAGCTACCATGTTGGCACCTCCATGTGGTTGCTTTCTTCCATTCCCCTTTTGCGATTGGTTCCAAGGGGTCCACCAGTCGGGCTTGGTAGAGCAGCGAAACCATGGATGCCCTTCTTCCTTGCAATACCAGCACTCTCCCCTCAAGCGTGGTTCACTGTTGTCATTGTTGGAGTGACCACCTCTTCCTCTTGCACCAGCGCCACCACGCCCCCGCTGGTTCCAAGTCCCGCGACCACCTTGGTTGTAGTAAGAGCGACCGCGATTGCCACGCCCTCGATCTCTCCATGTCCCTTGCATGGCATAGCCGCTGGTGCTGTCATCACCTCCACGGAGTGTATAGCGACGAAAATCTTCTTCCAGAATCTTGGTGCGAATCCACTCCAATGTCCATTGACTTGGGTTTTGTGGCAAGCTGAGTCCGCTTATAAATTGCAGCCAAGACTCGGGCAGCAGGCTGAGCATCTTGAGACACTTAGTCTGCTCGGGGTACGTGATGCCAGCAATCGCCAATTTCGCGTAGAGTTCCCTCATCTTGTCCAGTACGGGCTGCACAGGTTCATTCTCGCTCAACCGCAGCATGGACAGCTCCCGATCCAGCATGAGAGAAGCGGCAACCGATGTCGGAGCGTGCAGGTCCTTGAGCACTGCCCATGCCTTGGGCCCACAATCAGTTTCCGGCAGCAGATGCATGATGTGATGCCTCTGGTTCAGCTCCAAGCTTTGTGACAGTAGATAATACCCAGCAGATGAACGTTCATCCCAGTCCGCTCGCTCTGCCATTTCCTTTGGCCTGGGCTCCGTTCCAATCATGAGCTTCAAGAGGCCAATTTGTCGAAAGTAGAGCTGCATCTTCCATGCCCAATCATCATAGCCATCTCCAAAGAACTTCTCAATGGTGAAGTTCTTCAGCACCTCCTTAAGCAGTGACCCCTGGCTTGTACGCGCTCCCCTTTGCGCTGCAATGCCAGAATCTTGGGTTGAGCTGCCTCCTTGGACTGAAGTATCACCTCCACCAGAGTCCTCCTTATCTCCCATCGTATTTTAGGTCCCAAATGCGTGATAATGGGCTCTGATACCACTTGTTGGTTAGAGAAGGCTATAAGCAGATGATTCAATGGCTCCTTGGAAATTTCTGCAGCACTTCGTTATGACACCCAGAAAACTCGCGACCTTCGAAAAGCTATATCCAAAACTCCAATCAGGTGAAACAATTTGAAAATCGGATATGTTGTAGCTTGCAGCGTCAGCTTTGGACTGAAAGTTGAATCACTCGATTCCGTAGCTTATCGAGTGAGCTATGGCGATTGGCGCACTGGGGGGTAATCTGCCCTAGGAGAAATTGACAGTCCTCAGAGTCACTATGATTGAAGCTTACAAGTTCAGAGGCATGATAGGAAAGGCATTGAAGCACAGTTGGAAGGTGGGGATGGAAGGGAAGGATGAAAGGGAAGGACCCTGGAGGCCCTTGGTCAAGAACATGACAAGAGTCAAAATCTTGACTCCCCATCCTCAGGTTCAGCCAGCCTGGCAAGACAAAATTCACACTGTGCCAGGTTGGCCTCCAAACCCCAAATGCTGCAGCTGCAAGGTGAGGACAAAAGTCCCACACATGCTGGTCCCTCCTCGTTATAGGGCTCTCCAACTTTGGTGTAGCAGCTGCCAAGGACTTCCAATGAGTTGTAACAAATCCATCAAACACCTCTTCGTAACTGCTTCATATGTGTTCCGATTCCAACAATTCTTGGCTCGTTGGAATGTGCTCGATGCCATGCACAATCCAAGCACATCTGCACAAACACAAGATAAACATGCAAAGACATGCAAACCCAACAAACCACACAAACAATGTAGCACACAAAACACATGCAACGGAATGATGCGAACAGACGACAGATGACGTGCAAACGAATATGCACCAACGGGTGTGCAGCGCGGCACTTCTGGAAATTGGTCGACGAGAATTGCTGAAAATCACTCTGACGGCTTTATCAAAATGCCGCTAAGTAGGAAATAGCGTCGGCGAAAATTCGTTAAAACGCCGACTTGAAACTGAATCTGAGCCGATGTCTAACCCCAGACCCACACACCCCCCCACACACCCCCAGGCCCTGTCCCGCAGCTACACAGCTCCGCAACCAGCTCCGCAACCAGCTCCGCAACCAGCTCCGCTCCGCTTCAACCTGTGTACCTGCTCTTGCTTGACGCGAGACGTTCGTGGAGGCGATTTCGCGAGGGGAGTTCGCCAATTCTGGCGGGGTCTAATGGGAAACTCGAGAACGAGTTTTAAGAGATGGTCGAAATAGAGATTCGACCAAGGAGAACCGAGGAGGAAATCGACGATGAGAAGCGTGAATGCTTCAGAGATGAGAAATTCAACGAGGTCGAGCGCGAAGGCGGTCGACGATGAGAGGCGCGACTGCAGGTGGAGCACGTCGAAATTCCGACGACTCGAAACGAATGTCACGACGATGAAGTGCGCGTAGCGCGGGCACGTTGAGATTAGGACCTCGATCCGCGTGTGCGGATAGGTCGCTCTGATACCATGTAAGAAATAGAGTTGAAATGATTGATTAGGTAAGGAGCCCAAGCTTCTATAAGTACATGGCAAGGTGAGAGAGAATGGATGAAGGGGCAATTGGAGGAAATCCCCATTGGGATCTCCGGAATCTCCAATTGGGTAATTGGAGATTGGGGGGATCACAATTGGGTGAGGTTGGGATTTGTAAGTACACCCCAACCCACTAGAACATTCATCACCTAAACTAGCATATAAAAGTACAAATACAAAAGTGGTATTTGCAGTCTAATTCTAACAGTAACGAGAGAGGACACTAACCGGGTAAGCCAAGTCTGGTCAAGTGCACATCATGGCATACATCACTGAACCGACTAGCTCAGGGTACAGGTCCTTGCAGGCGTCAGGAGAAGGAATCGGAGGGGCCGTCAGCTGATGCTGTAGTGGGAGTGGAGAGGAGACAAAGTTACTAGAGTCCATGTCGAACCGCTTGAGAAAGTTGTCGATGTAGGACTGAGAGAGGGTGATCATGCAAGGCTGGCAGTCACGAGTGATCTCCATCCCCAGGGCATTCCATGTGAACATCCTCCTTGAGCTGGCCTTGGAGAAAAGCGGAGGAGGTGTCCATCGACTTGATCTCGAAGTTGCCGCAAGCGGCTATATCAAGAACCGCGCACAGTCGGGAGCTTAGTCGTGGGCGAGAAGGTTTCGAAAAAGTTGAGATACTCCTTCTGGGTGAAACCATTCGCCACGTAACTTGCCTTGAACAGTGGAGTGGAGGCCTTGGAGTTGTTTGACTCGGAAGATCCATTTTCCGCCGACGATGTTAACACCGGAAGGGGGAATGTCATCGTCAAAGCTGTTGTTGCGAATGAACGCCTCCTTCTCCACATCCATTGCTGCCTTCCATTTCTTATAAGGCCCCAAGAGAGCTTCCTCTTTTGTGCGAGGAGTCGGAATGGTCGGGTTCTCGGTGAAGCTTGAGGGAAGGGCAGTCAGTAATGTCCGGGAAGATGTGAGAGAAATTGGCAGACCGCGTGAAGGTCAAACAGCTCCTCATGCCTGTCCTTGAGAGGTGCACGGAGGGGGAATACGGATGGAGGGGACATCACCCCTGGCAGGAGGAGGCGGGGTGACCGAACACCGGATGGAGAAGGCGGCTGGTCCCCATGCGAGAGGCGGAGCCGGTCCCTTGGAACGAGTGCGACTAGAAACCGGAGACGAAGGTGGCTGCGGGGGGACCGGAGGGACTGTGCATCTCCGGTAGGAGACTGGTGAGCCGGGCTGGACGCGCGGGGAAGGCAGAGAAGAAGGAGGTGCTGCTGCGGAGGATACCGGGGAGGCCGAGTGAGACACGCTGGATGAAGAAGGCCCTAGAGAAGGAGCAGCGGCCGGAGGTGGGGCATCAAAGTCTGCCCATACAAGCGTCGGGGGAGGTGAAGGAGGCTCGCCTGTGGTCGCAGAGTGGAAGGGGCGTGTCTCATCAAAGACGACATCATGGCTGCGAATCAGCTGTCTGGTGATGGGGTTGAGGAATAAGTAGTCTGTGGAGTCGGAGTTGTGCCCCAGGTACATGCAGGTCTGGGTTTTGGGACCAGGCTTGCCACCTTGCTTCCTACCCGTGTGGGGGCTCAGCAACACATATGCGGTACACCCCCAGATACGTAGAGAGTGGGCGGAAGGCGTGGCCCCAAGCCAGAGAGTGGTAGGTATGGTGTCGGGCCGGTGGGGATGAGCATAAAGATTGTAGAGGAGAGCCGCATGGAAGAGGGCATATCCACAGAGTGACCTTGGTGCGTTGGCGTAACTGAATAGGCAGCGAGCGATCTGAACCAAGGTGTGGTTGCGGCTCTCTGCATTGCCGTTCTACTGTGGGCTTTCAGGGAGCGTGAAGGTTGCCGAATCCCTTGGGCCGCGCAGAAGTTATCGATTTTGCCATTGCGAAATTCTCCAGAGGAGTGCCGAACGTGACTTGAGCCTGGCGCACCCATGCCATGATAACGTCAGGTGCCTCCGCCTTGGTATGCAGGAGGTGCACGGAAACATACCGCAAGTGGTCATCAACTAGTGTAACAAAGTACCGATGACCGCCACGGGATGCGACTGGAGCTGGGCCCCAGACATCCATGTGCACTATGTCCAGCGGAGCAGCTGCGACGGATGGGGAGGAAGGGTGCGGCTGCTGCCTGAGCTTGCTCTTGGTGCAGTCCAGGCAGGTGGGTGCAGGTGAGTCTGTTGGTGGAGGAAGCGCCGACGGGAGGCCAAGAAGAAGTTTCTTGGAAGCGATGTCGGCAAGCGTATGGAAGTTGGGGTAACCCAAGCGATGATGGTAGAGGATGGTTGGGTTGGCGACGCTGCGACACGAACACAGAGTGGTGTTGGCAGCTTGTGCTTGGGAGAGGGCGGCGAGAGGTGCAGGTGAACGCGTAGAGCTTGCTGCTGTTGAGTGTGAAGCGTGCTAGGAGCTTGTTGGACTTAGGGTCAAGGAGGTCACAGCGATCCGAGTGTGCTGGGAAGATCGTGGTGATGCCTGCCCGTTTGAGCTCGTGTTCGGCCATGAGATTGTGGCGTATGGTGGGAACACACATGCCGGTGACACTGCCCGAAGGAAAAGCTGGGCACGGAACTGTGGAGGAGCCTTTGGCGTGTGTTGTAAAACTGGAGTCTACTCCTAGTAGACGGATTGGTGTCTCGTATGGCTCGAAGGAGTGTTCTTCCTTGAGAACTGTGTGAGTGGCCCCACTGTCGAGGGTGAACTCTATTGTGGCTGAGGTGCTTTGTGAGCCGGGACACTGCGAAATGTTGAGAACAACATGTTGAGGCGCACATCAGCAGGGGGAGCTACAGCAGCCTGCACGGATTCGTGCGCTTCGACTTGATTGACCTTGCGAGGAGCACGATTGACCATCCAGCTTGGTGGCTTCGAGGCGGTCCCATTAACGGCATACCACTCATCATCCTTCTTCTTGAAGCAGGAGGCGATGGCGTGGTTGGTGCCGCCACACACCTAGCCGGCACGAAGGCCGCGCTTGATGACGTAGGGATACGGGGGAAAGCGGTTGCGCTGGAATGGTGCCGAAGCGGCATAGGCTTGAGGCACGGGAGCGCGGATTGCATTGGCCTTGGCTTGAGCGCTGTTGTCATTTTCGGCAGAAAGGAGCGCGGATGAGACCTTGGCAAATGTGAGGTCCGCAGGAGCAAGACCCAAGAGCATCTTGCGTGTGACTTCGTATGTCGGAAAAAGGGCGACTAGGAGAGCGGCTGCAGGGGCTTGCTCGGGGAAGACTATCCCCAACTGCTTGAGTTGACCATGAATGGACTGTATTAGAAATAGATTTCAAATCCTACTTTTATAGTTGTACTTTTATATCCTAGATTAGGTTAGGAATGTTTTAGTGGGTTGGGGTGTACTCACTAAATCCCAACCTCGCCCAATTGTGATCCCCACAATCTCCAATTACCCAATTGGAGATTCCGGAGATCCCAATGGGGATTCCCTCCGATTCCCCTTTCATCCATTCTCCCTTACCTTGCCATGTACTTATAG